ATGGTACCTTGGAGAGTGGTTGGGAGGTCCATACAACCTAAAGTCTATGAAGACTTTCTGTTAAATGCTAAACAAATATGAAGCGGTCAGAGAAGACAATATGAGCTTTGTTCCCCTTGAAAGAATAATATATGTCAAAGTTTTAACTCAGCAGTTTGTTTAATTTAATTACTTTATTTATATCCTGTCTGTGTTCCAAAAAGGACCATGGCAGGTAGCTCACTCTCGTTGAGAGTGCCCACACTGTAGTGGACAGAGCACCTGGAATGGGCGATAGTCCTGAGAGTCCTACTTCCTGGTCATGTGACTTTGGGCAAGTCACCTGTCCACCTCACCACTCACTCCAGCTAGTTTTCCTTACTGTAACATGAAAAGTTTGGACCAGATGTCCCCTAATCATCTGGACACAGCCTGCACTCAGCCAGCACATGTGCCAAAGGCTGTAGCCTCAGTTCAGGGAGGGTACAAGGAAGAGAACTGGGGATGCTATGAGGGAGGCTGTGCCCCAGATGGGGCCAAGTGGCCCTCAGCTGGACCCCCTGGGTTTGGCACCCTGGCAGCCCCTGGCAGCAGAATGAAATGATTTAAAGGGCAGGCTCCGGAATCAGGCAGACCCGTGTTCAAATATGGCCATCATTTACTAGCTGCATGGCCTTTAACAAGCTACTTAACCTCTCTTCGCCTCAGTTTTCTTGCCTTTAAAATGGGTATCACAGTACTTATCTCACAGGGTTCTTAAAAGGATTAAGTGAGCTCTGCAAAGTACAATAATGGCATCTGATAAGTTCATGACACTTGTGATCGGCTACAGAATGGTGGCTAGGCAGGGGGCAGAAGGAGAATGGGGTTGAATCCTCCATACACAGAGACTGTTCGACTAGTGCATGGTCCCTTCCCTGTTCTGTGGGGTCTTACTAAACCTACAGCAACCACATTTTCCAACTTCATTCTAAAAACATAGCCTGATAGTGGGAAAGAATACTGGACAACAGAATTGCTCCTCAAAGCCCAGGACATATGGCCCCATCCTCCAGCCCTCTTGGTGCAGGGAGTCTAATGTAAAGGTCTTCTCTGGGCCCTGTCCTCAAGGTGCCTCTGCCACTCGCTTTGGATGGCAGCTCAGCAGCTCAGAGGTTAAGTTCTGCTCTTCACTGGGGACACAGTGTTCTCTGGCCATCGGGTAGATGCCCGTATGTACATGGGCAAGATGGTGTTGCCGAGAGGGGGAGGGGCCTCTTATGGACCAGAGTTGATGTTGTTAGAGGCTGACAAGCAGCAGGGGTGAATGAAGAAGGAGCTAAGTCTACCCAGGGGCCTACTGCAGGGCCTGCCATATCCTCTGATAGCCAGGGATGTGTGGGACTTGCCTGACAAGTGACTGGGTGTCCTGGGGTGCCCGACCAGACAGGTGGCCAGTTCTTAAACCTTCTGCCACGGCTCTGGCTTTGAATGCCACCTAGGAGAGTCTCGTTCACTCATTCATTCATTCACTTACTGAGCAGTCTGTGCCATGCCTGGCACTGGAGCTACAGGAAGGCCTTAGTGGCCCTGCTCATGAGAGCTCACAGCCTGGCTACTGGGCACAAGGGGGCTGTCGGTGGGGAATCTTCTTTGGGATGGGTGGTGCCTAATGACTCCCACACTTTCCTTCCCTGCTCACTCAGAAACCTAGATTGAGAACGGCTTCTGCCCCTGCCTGGCTCTGCCAGAGAGCCCCTCAACATCTGGGCATCAGAATGGTCTCTTCCTCTCCCTTGCTGTCCCCTCTAAGACTGCCCATGGGAAGTCCCACCCCGAGCTCTCTCTCCATTGTGCAGAAAGGGCCCTCCAGGTGGTCAGCACTAACAACTGCTTCATTTTTCCTCCCTCTTCCATTCTCTTCTTCCTTGTTTTCTTTCCTGTTCCTCCTCTACTCTCTCCTCCTTTTCCTCCTCCTCCTCTTACCCTCCAAAGCCATCCCCACCCAGCCCTCAGCTGCCCTCCCAGGCTTCAGGAAAGCAGAGCCAATGGGTTTTATAACCTGCAGCAAGTTTCCTCACCATAGCCAGCACTTCCCTGGCTTGCTGTGGGAGGCTTCTTCCCTTTTCCTCTCCCTCTTTCTGCCTCTCCCATGCATCTGGGCTCCCTCTTTCCTTGAGCTTCTCCTCTTTGGACCTTCTGACCCAGGGCTTCTCCCAGCCTTGCTCACTCCCACCTTGCTGTCATCCCTCCTTTCGTTGCCCAGCACTACCCCTCCTCTGGAGGGCTGCCTCCCTGTCCCCCAGCAGTATGCCACTGCCCTCCCCTGCCCTGGTGGCCCCCTCACTGCTCAGACAACTTGCTGTGTGCTCCTTCACACGTTGTGACTGCTGCCTTCCTTCTCCTTCAGGGAGTTTCCTCCAGCCTCTGGGGGTGGTTCTCTTCATGTTTCCATCACATCACCTGATTTTCCTTCTCCCCCCACCTTCCTTCTCCTCCTCTTCCCTTCTCCCCACCTCCCACTGCCACCTCTGCCAGTAGCAGGCTTCCTTTGCCTTCCCCTGCCCTCCCCCTCTCCCTCCGCTGCTGCCTCTGTAACCTGTCTTACCACCAGGGCCTGAGTATACAAAAAAATAAATAAATAAAAAGGTCAGTGAGTGGAGGGAGCAGCAATAACCCCTAAAACAGTACTATCAGTGGAACATGATTGATCAATTGAATTCCATAGCAGCTGAAAAATGTGGGATTAAGTAGTGTATTATACGCACAATGAGTTGAGGCATGATGTTCATTTCAAGTTCATTTCGCCGGCCTCTGCCACCAGATCAGGCAATCAATAGGGGCAGCAGATATCATATATCACCTCTCTGCGGGCTGGGGAGAGAGCACCATAATCTCTCGCAAATTTAGAGTGACAGATTTGTCAAGATCTGAAGGGCCCCTGAATAAATGAAGGCAAAGAGACTCCTCCAGCCAGTGACCTGAGGACAAAGCTTCAGTTCAGCTCCTGCACACACATACACACACACAGGCGTGGGGTGAGCCAAGCCACACACAGGCATATACACAAATCTACACAGAGGCATGATGTGGGTCCTGCCACACATGTACGTGCACACACCCCCTCACAAATGCACACTGTATGCCCCAGGACAGATTTGGTGACACTGCAATAACCTTACACAAAGACACTTGACGCCTCCTTTAGCCCTGACAGCGGGACTTCCCCAAAAGGTATGAGGGCTCCAGGAAGAATTAGACACAATGGAACATGCAAATAGCTACAGGGGATGAAATTAGGATGATGGCATATCCTGGGAAAAGAGGCAGGCACAGGAGGAAGGGGGGATGTGGGTTCACCTTCCCCATGCAGTCTCATGCACACGCACTTACACATGCACTCACACACACTCACATGTACACACCCTTGCAGAGAGCTGTTACTGTGTCCTTTAAACACATACAGACCCTAATTTATCTGGATGTTTATATATGTACAACTGCATATACACAGAGAATACTCACACAAAAGGGACAAATAAATTTATCCCATCTCAACTCACACACAGGGATGCATACACCCTCTGAGACCGAAAACTATTCCAGATCCTTATGTAGAAAAAGCCACAACCACCAAGTTTTGTGTCATAGGAATGTAGGCATAGCATGGCTTGATCCTGATCTTGACTTCTCTCTCTCTCTCTCTCTCATATTCTTTCTTTGCTTTCCCATCCCCTCCAGAATAGAGCGGGGAGGGAAGATGGGAGGTCCTGTTGGGAAGTCAGACCCCATGCTCCATCCGCGAGGCCAGCAAGGGAAGGTGGCTGCAGGTTGAGTTAATCAATATGTAATATTTTCTATGGTCTCCCGAATGATACTGTACGGTGTTACTGTATATAATGCAATATTGATTATATCATATCGTATAATCACCTATAAACTGATATATATAACAGTCCCAGAGGAACACTCTGGAGCCTCCAGCATGGGCTGGCTCCAGGCCCAAGGCTCCCCAGCTGGTCTTGGGCGAAGGGAGGCCAAGGAATAGCTGAGCTGATGCTGGGGGCACCAGGAGAGTTGCAGGGTAAAGGTTCAAGGAGAGGCAGCAGAGCAGGCACTTTGTGAATGCTCTGAAAACTTCCAGGGACCTGATGCCAGAGGCAAGGATAGCAGAGTGGTGAGAACCCCTGGGCAGAGCATGACATGGACACACAATTGGCCTGCAGCCCCAGGGGAGCAGACACTAGTGTAGCACTACTGTGGTCCTTCCTTTGTGGAGCAAGTCTCAGCTTCCATGGAGACCCGCAGGAGGAACCAGGTGGCCTAGGAGCTGGCTCCTCACGGAGGCCTGAGCTAGGGTCCAGGTCAGAGACAGAGGTTGACAGGGTGGCCAGGGCACACCAGCATCCACAAAGGCCCTTCTGCAGCCTCTGCCCTAGGAGGGGCCTTGCTGAGGAAGTGATGCCTCTTTCCTCCTGCTCGGACAGTCCTGGCCCAACACAGGCAGAACCACAGGCAGAACGCCTTGGCCTTGCTTCCAGAGCCCCTCCTTCCTCAGTGGTGAAGTTAATTACTTCACCCAGTCTCCATGTTACACTCAGCCTCGGAGATTTGATGATTTTCAACCCTTGGAATCAGTGGAACTGAAATTCATCTCAGAGCCGAGTTCAATTCTCCACAGGCTCAGCAACACTGGTCCGAGACACCCCGCTCCTCCCAGGGCTGACGCAGCCGAGGGACAGACATGATCTGGGGAGATGGCCCTAGGAGCCCCTCTGGCGCTACCTCTGCCTAGTCATTCCTGATGCCCCACACCGTGACCACATCCCCTTCTCTTCCCAGGCCTTCAGAGGCTCTGGCCTCCTCAGCTGGCTCTCTGAAGCAGGGTCAGCCTCCTGGCCTAGGAGCTGGGTTAAGGGGTCCCAGTTAGGGTGCAGAGCCCTGGGGGCCAGAGCCAAGCACCCATCACCTTTGCACACTGCGCTGTTTCTGCACCTCTGCTGGGCTGGTGCTAATGCCCCAAGTGTCCATGTGTTCTCCAGATGTGTCTGAGGGCTCAGTTCCCAATGGAGACTCCCAGAGTGGCGTGGACAGTTTGCGGAAGCACTTGCGAGCTGACACCTTCACCCAGCAGCAGCTGGAAGCTTTGGATCGGGTCTTTGAGCGTCCTTCCTACCCTGACGTCTTCCAGGCATCAGAGCACATCAAGTCAGAACAGGTGAGGAAGGAGCTTTCTGCTTGTAGCCGTGGAAAGGAACTGGGCAGAGCAAGGCCCCTTGAGAACTTGTACAGTGAATGCCGCATGCATACCCAGCATTGCATGTGTTGCATATGTGTGCACCGTGCATGTGCAGTGTGAACATACTTGCACAAGGACATTCTGGTATAGTTAAGAAAAATCATTATGGTATGTATAGTAATTAGAAATGATGAGTTCTGAGTGCAAGAGTATGGCCTTGGATAAATCTTATCTCCTTTCAGAGCCTCAGTTTCCCCATCCTTAGATGAAGGGCTTGGACCTGTGGTCTGTCAAGTCCCTCCCAGCTCTGTCACTCTGTGGTTCTGGCACAGAGTACTCAGAAACATTCTCTGGCTGTGTCCCTTGCCCAATCTCCCTCAGGGTCCTACAGAAAGTCTGCACAGGCCTGTGGGGCTCTTCTTGCCCAGCATCACCGCTAGCCCCGTTGGTCCCATGGAGCCGGTAGGTCCCCAGCTCGGCACAGCTCCAGCACGTTCCTGCCCTGCATCAGCATAACCCCCAGCACACTCACTCAAACGTAGAGCACACTCCCCTCCCTCCCTCCCACACGCACGGCCCAGCCAGGCCGAGAGCCGCAGCGCAACACGGTGTGCTGTGCTTGCACGGGCACACACGCGTGCGCGCAGACACACATGCACGCCGGTGCAGCCCTCGGCGCCACCCGGCTCAGTTCCACTCTCAAGACTCCAACAGCTCCCAGCCACTTGCCTTTCTCCCCGCCCGTCCTTTTATCCCATAAGCTGTTTGTCTTCATAAAACAAAAATCAAAAGTCTTTTTAAGGTGCCCTGAGCCATAAACCAACAAAGGAGGAGCCGGCCAAGGCGGGCGGCTCAGTGCACCCTCCCCGAGTCCCCGGCTGTATTACAATGAATAACCTTTATTTACTTTCATTAGACTATTAAACACCAGCACAGTCATTTTTCCCCCTGAAACTCGGAGCAGGGCCCATAAAGCAAATCCGAAGCCTAATTGAGTTCATTTTAATTTCTCTCCGATCACAGCGAATTACTCTGGTGATAAATCAGGGGGCAGCTTCACCCCCAGTAGAAGGCCTAATTTGCAGCTAATTACAAAACTGATTTCTACAGGAAGATCAATACGAGAAGGAATTGGAAATGACGAGGCAATCCCGTCCAGCCAGGGCGGGGAGGGGGCCCTCTGGGGGGGCCAGGAAGCGGAAGGGAAAAAAACGGACCCGAAAGAGCAGAAAATCAGTTTTAATTTAACGTAATATTAATCAGAGCAACTTTTCCTGCTTTGTGCAAGCTCCTGGGCTGCCCAGCTCTGGGGTCTGGCTTGGCGGTGGCTGCAATAAAAAGGCAATTACCCAAGTGTTTCGGGCAGGACACCCTTTCAGAGTCAATGACTGGCCCCCTCCCACCCTTCTGTTAGCCATGTGGACTCTCCCCCTCCCCAATTTCATACCCCAGTGCACAGGCAGAGAGTGAGGGGCCCGTGAGGCTGTCTTTGTTTGTTTTTAAAAAAGGGGCGCCCGCACCCAATCAGCCAGCCCAGCAGTGCCAGGCTGGAGGTCCCACTAGGCCCTTCCCATAGCTACTGCCTCTGCCATCATGTCATGGTTTGCTCCTCCTCCCCAAGGCTCCCTACCCAGGGGGACCTTAATACCCCGTGCCTCTCAGCAAGGGGATCCCCACTGCTACATCTGCCCTTGGGGCTTCTTAGGCAGGTGATGCTACAGGAATGTAAAGGGTGCTGGGGATAACCACCCAAATGCATAAGCTGCACCTCTAGTTTCACCAAGTCACGCCGGCCCCCATCTGCACAAAACTCTCCATCATACGCCAAGCCCGCCCCGCCTGCTCTCCCTCCATCTGCCCCCCCATCTCCTTCTACCCCATCTGGGAGGGCTCCCCTGTTCCTCCTCCCCATCTGCACACCGAGCCCTTTCTCTGTGTGTGCACATCAATAGAGAGCTGTCGCTTTTCTCTCTCCTCCCAGGGGAATGAGTACTCCCTCCCAGCCCTGACCCCTGGGCTTGATGAAGTCAAGTCGAGTCTATCTGCATCCACCAACCCCGAGCTGGGCAGCAACGTGTCAGGCACGCAGACATACCCTGTTGTGACCGGTAAGGGGGCTTTCAGGAGGGTGGGGCCTCTGCTTTCAGTTGCGGGGCGCCTTGGCCCATGCCATCTGGGGCCCAGTGTGACGACAAAGCCCCCTGCCACGGTATCTGCATAGAGAGTGAGCCTCCCAAACCAGGGTGCTTCCGGAGCAGATGTGTGCAGATATGGGGAGAAAAAACTGTGGTCAGGGCATCTGTGGGCTCCAGCCTGGAAAGGCTCAAGCTAGGAGGGCTGCTGGGATCTTTCTGCCTAGGCTTTGCCTTTTATTTTGCCTCCCACAAGGTGTCCAGAATCCTGAGCCTCTGGTTAGGACCCGTGCAGAAGAATGCAGAGGGCAAATAGGCCAGGCTGGTGAGAGCAGAGCATGGGTGCCCAGTATCCAGCCTCCACATGCCTGTGTCCCCAAGGCTCCGGGGGGCCCTGCTGCCCTCTCAGTCCTGGCAGCATGGGAGGCTGTGGCTTTGGGGTGAGGGCATGGCGCCCAGCTCTGTGGGGCTATAGATGAATGCAGTTATTCCAGTCTTTCTCTTGCTTCCCAGACAAGTTATAAGACCAAGTCTTGATTTCAAAGCCAAGTAGGGTCAGGCCTGATCCACAGTTAAATGCAAAGGGAGGGGGCACCATGGCCAGGAGACCCCAGGATTAGCAGCAGCAGAGGCAGTTAGCATAGAAGGCCAGGTGGGGTCCAGGGAAAGGCCAGCGGATGAAGCTCCAGGCTGCAGGGTTGCAGGCTGCAGAAGGCACCTGGCACTGCAGAAGGGTTTCCAGGCCAGGAGAGTGCCCAAGTGGGAGAGACACACATTGAAGTGTTATTAAAATTCACCTAATTATTCTGGAGACACTAAAGCCAATGTGCCGTTTGTTCCTTGGGAGACAGGATGATTGAGAAGGGTCTCAGTGGGAATTGGGAGACACTGAGGCGTTACCTGCCGAGCCAGGCAAGCGGAGGCGGCCTGGGGCCCTGGCAGCGGGGCTGCAGGCAGCCAGCATCACCGCCAGTGGCAAAGACAGGGAGCAGGCACAGTCCCCGCTGTGGGACAGGGCCCCAGTTCTGACTGGGAGCTGATCTGAGAGTTTGGCTGCACTTGAGCCTGAACCGGGCTGTGAGTGGCCACCCAGCCTCCACCTGGGGGCTTGGGAGAGCACTGCTGTTAACTTCCCCAGCTTCTCCTTAACAGGGTGTCCTGGCACAACTGTTTCCAGCCTAGATGGAGGGGAACTCTTTGCCTAGGAAGTCAGAGGCTGAGTTCTGGAAGTGTTGGAGGGCTGGAATGGGCTTTTGAGAGCGACAACCTTAGCTGGGTTAGCCTGGTGAGGGTCCTCAGCACCATCCCTCCTTAGCCCAACTCGGAAGCTCTCTGACCTGCTGAGTGTTCTGACCCAAGGCAAAGAGATGACCCAGGCCAGGCTTCTTTTCTCCTGATGGGCTGGTAGGTACAGTGGTCACTTTCCAAAGGTGGATGCCTCAGGCAACTGGCAAAAGAATCCAGGAGACTCCTCTAACTCCAGCTGTGCTTCCCTGTGCTCAGGGCCACAGTCCAGAAGTGGGGGGACTTCCTAGGGTGGAGATACAGATCTTTTGGGTGGGGCTCCTGCTGCAAGAGCCACAGGGGCTGGTGCAGAAAAGTGTCTCCACCTTGAGCAGCCCCTACCCGCCTCCCCCCTATGGCCCTGGAACGGTCCCAGCTCAGCCTGGGAACATCTCCGGCTGATCCATCTGGATCCAAGTGTGAGAAAAGTTCATTTCAGACCCAGCTTGACATTCCCAGGTGGCAAGTTAGCACTAACATCTCAATCTGTATGCGACATTTCAATCAAGCGAGGAGTAACAAAAGCAGAACCATTAACATTCGGAGCTGTTCACCAGTGGTAATGACGGGGAAACTCGCTCAGAAACTGGAAATTACCAAAAACAGAGAAGTGTGTGGAGGATGGGGGAGGGGAGGTAGGAGTGGGGGTAGGGAATGATTTTTCCACACTCAGGCCAAGATCCAGTGTTTGGATTAATAGTGCCATTACTCGAGAAAGGGCTGCAGATTATCCTCATTCTTAAAATGTTTTTGCTGGCAATTAAACTGCTGCAGTTATTGATCTTTGTTGATTTTATGTCCTCCTAATTTGCATAATCTATTAAAGATGAATGATTCATGATGTGTTAATTATGGGGACAAACAGAATTTGCTGGAGGTACTGTCAAGGTGAGCAGTGGGGCATTGCCTGGAGGCTTCATGGGCCATCTCAGGAGTGGGTCCAGCATGTTAGCCTTCGGGCCAGAACTCTGTGGGCAGCAGAGAGCAGTGATGCAAGGAGGACAGACACAGGACAGGTGAACTTTGGGTGAGTGAGTTCTTCTAGAAAGATGTTGGCATCTGTGAGAACTGGGCTTCAAGCAGTGGCTGGGTATGGCAGAGGCTCTTGGTGTATTTGTAGAAATCCCCCTCAAAGAGTCTTAAAAAGCTTATTTTGTTGGAGAACATTAAAGACTTTGGTGAAGGAAGAAAAAGGGAGGCTAGGCTCTTTCAGGTAGGCAGGTGACACTGGGTAGATGTGTGCAAAAAAGCTGAGGGAGCAGGGAGGTCATCATGTGCCCACAGCCTGGCTTGGGAGTGCCACGGTGCTCAAAGAGCCCTCTTCACTCCCCACATTGCAGGCACCCCACCCATCTCCTTCCCCAGGACAGGCAGCTGAGGCTGCAACCCTGAGGGATGCGTGTTAAGGAAACTGGCCCAGGAGTGGCCTAGCCCAACTCGAAAAGCCAGACCTTATTGATATTCCTGCCACCTCCTGGCACTGGAGGCTGATTTCAAACTTCACCAGCCACTTGATACAGCTGTTCCACAAGGTCAGGACTGAGAGGAGAAAGGAGTCTGGACTATTGTGTGGAGAGGAGAGTGGGGCCCAGTGGTCCAGGACACAACTAATCACATTGCAAGCTAGGGTGGCTGCCAGGGGCTAGGGCTCAGCCCCACAGCTTCCCCTCCCCACCTTCCAGCATGGAACCAAGGAGAGAGACTGATTTTTCTGAGTGGTGTTTGTAAGTTCTGCCGAGATTTTAATTTCACTGCATCACAACTCAGCAAGCTGCCAAGTCAAGCTGGTTATTTAAATTTATCACCCACTTTCCCTTCCGCCGCTGGGCTGCTCTAGCTCAGCGGCATCTCTTCTCTCCAGTCCACGGCTCTAGGCTGCTGGTCTGGAACGGAGCCGAGTCTCTCCTAAGTGATAAACAAAAAGGGACCAGCTACATGAGAGAATGGGTCAGGGGCACTCTGGCCCCAGGCTTCCTTGTGCTGGCTGGCTGTGGCCGGTACTTCCCATCACCTTCTTACCCCTCCAAAGGATCCACAGGGGGCCGCCATCAACCTCTTAGTCATGCCCAGGGCTGCCAGGTCAGGGCACCTGCAGTGAGGACTCTGGCCTCAACTGCATGCCGGAGCCTCATTCCTTCAAGCCTCCCATCACAGGTAGAAGAGGTAGCCCCACTTCCCCATGGCCCCTCACCTCGACCCTTCCCTCCTTGTGCCTGGCTGGGGCTGCAGTGACAGAGGAGCACGCACAGACACTGGCAGTGCTGCTGATCTGGGAGGTGAAGATGAGAACTGGTGCGGGAGATGAAGATGTTCTGAGCAGTAGGGAATCCCTTGACCCAGTGGAAGTCCACCCTGAAGGAGAGAGCAGGCTCCCCACCCTGGATCCCAGATGGAAGCAGTGGTTGAGGAGGAAGTCAGCGATTGTGCAGCTCCGTGCCCACTCTAGAAGCTGGGGGACGTGCCAGTCCTCAGAGCTGCTGCACCCAGTGGGCTTCACTGGCCTCTAGTGGGCATCGCTGCCAAGGACTGGGAGAGCCCTGTGCAAGTGCAGTTCTCCCACCTTATTGTAGTCGCAGAGAGGCGATGGAGGAGTAAGAGTGATATCTAGGAAGCAGGCTTACCAAAACAAACATAGTTAGATAAAATATAACAACAAAATGTGTTAATACACAGCCACATTTCACTCTGTGGTGCCAGAAACAGAGGGAAACGCAGAGCCAGAGCGGTGTGCGAGAGACTGCTGGCATCACACTAGGGGTGGAGCCTAACTGGAAGATGTTGGGGTTGTAGCACACCAGTCAGGAAACATGACTTTGGGTCCAGGAGAATCAGGAAGCTAGAGCTGAGTATTACCCTGCATAAGGCCAGGAACAGAATAACGACAGCACTGTCCATGAAAGTGAAACACACAAACTCATTCTAACAGTCCAGGGAAGCGAGAGGGGGAAGAAATGTCACCATGAGAAGTGGGGACCCCAGGCACCCTGGATCAGAGTCCAAATTTATACTATGAATATGTTACAGGAACTCCAAGCGAAGAACTTACATAAAAATTTATCCAGTAACCAACTCAGAAACCCCAGCAGGAAGGAAGGCAGACCTTTTTGTAGAGACATTCTACAATCTAAAGCACTTGGGACTCCCACAGGAAAAAAATCCACCACTAAAGATGAGCTCACTATAAAAAATCATACACCTCATAGGAATAGAAACTCTCATGAGGGAGAGTTAGCAGAAGCAATAGGGCAATTAACACCCCCTGAGAACTGGAGATAATAAAATAATCCAAAAGCACTATAAACTAAGCATGTTTAATACTCCAAAAAAGATCAAAGAGAAATATCAGTTGTGTCTTCATCACAGCCCGGATCCCTAAGTCTCCTGCCCCACCAGTGCTCAGCAACTGTCAGATAATGGGGACAGCAACGGGCAAAGAATGGAGAGACCACACCATGGCTTATTGCCTGGGGTTTAGGAGGCAAGGAAAGAGCTGAACCTCAGGCAGTTCTGGGAGTGGAGTCTGTTCCCAGCTTACCCCAGCTCCCAGACTACAGGTTTCAACAGAGAATCTTACCTTTTCTTTGGGAAAATGTCTGAACATTAGAGAGCTAGGGACAAGGACAGTACTTTCCTCCCCAGTGAGTGGGGGGAAAGCCTCATTAGCTTCCCTACCCTAGCAGGGAGAAAGCGGT